TTACCAGTGTTTTCTCATCTCATGCACAAGCACACACGTGTGTACACACGTGCATGCCCATGCAATACAGACAAAACCGAAGCTTGGGAATGTTGCTATAGTTTGTGCAGCCAAGCAGAATAAGGGTAATTTGTTTCATATGTGATTGGTGGTTCAGAACCACATTGCAGACAGCAAAAAACCTTCCTTCATTTTGCTAGTAAACTTCATATACTTCAGTGTGCTTTAGAAGTCAAAATGTTTCAATTTCATTTCAATTTCAGAGGAGAGAGCAGAACAGTATGTGTAAATTGCTCTGTCAAAATGAAACCAAACATTTTATATCTTTCACAAAGATATTAATTTTTTACTATTATGGTCAGATATAAGTGAATTCAGCCATCCTACAGAATGCCTCTTCAGAAAAAAAGTGCAGGTGGAATGAGATGCTTGCAGTTCTTGGCTCAGCTGAAATGGAAAAGCTGCTGCATGGGATAACATGTATTCCCACGTATGTGTCAGCAGTACAGCCACTCGTGGTTGTTTTTATAGCGGAGTGGGTATCTGCAGTAAAGGAGCACAGGTTCAAAAGGAGCTCCTGGATCTTCAGGAGCCCTGTGGTTGTGTATCACCCTGTAAGTGTCAGTTTAAATAGCAAGGTTCCTCGCTCCAGCTCTTTCCAAACCTCACTGCTATTTCATGGTTAGAAACCTCTCTAATTTCTGGTCTTCATTACTTTATGTGCAGTTTATGCCAGTGTATTCTTGGCCTAGTATTTCGCTTAAGGTCAAACAGGAGTTTTTCTGTCTTGTTTCTCTGTCTCTCAAATATTCTGTTGTATTTCCAGATAGAAGTCATGTCCTGTCAGCCTTAACTTTGCTCAGTTATAGAAGCCTGCTTCTTCCAATTTACTCTATTATGATGCATTGTCTTTTCCTCTCTTTATCCTTGTATCTTTTCTCTGCACTTATCTTGTTTTAATTTAACCTTTCAAAGTCTGAGTGACTAAAACTATATACTGTGTTCCAGATGAGATTGTAGTGGTAGAGAATTGAGTGTAGAGAATTTTCTGTCTTTCCTGTTGGTATAGGATATTGCATATTTTGTATGGTGCATCCTACTGCATCCTGAATCTCCTGCTGTACATACAAGGCTACCTTCATCTCAGTTTTTCTCAGCACAATTCATCCAGTGCATCGTTTTCAGCTACGTTTTGTAATATAAACTTTCATCCCGTTTGTATTGCTATAGTTTATGGTAATTGTTGGTCCCAAAGTGCATGCTTGTGCATTTAGTAATGTTGAAGTTCATTCCATTTCTATTACTCTACTAGATCACATGGTGAGCCCCTTATGACATCCCAGAGCTCCTCCAGAATGTTAATGCCTCCAAACTATATCACACTCATAAGGGATGTTACGTTTTTTGAACTCTTGTGTGGAATTTCAGTGGTCTTATATGTTCTTATCCAAACTGTTACTCATCACAGTCATGCTTGGCTTAACTTCCGTTCCCTTAACGTGGGGAACTGAATGTGGATATCTAAAGGTTGAATTGGTCCCCACTACATTTGAGTAAAGCAGTGGCAAATATCACTGCATTTGCTCCTGTTTCCGATGGTAATTCAGCCATAACTTGCAATAAAAATGAAATAACCATGGGAGTAATTGAATTTGTTAAAGCTCTTCTACAGTGTAATAAAATTACTTCTGTTCAAATCAGGTAGAGAGTAGTAAACCCCTGGGCTTTGCGTGGTCTTTGGGAGCAAATAGGTTTATGCCAGATCACATATGCTTTAAAAACCAGCCAGGGAAAGGATCATTATCATTTATTTTTCAATTGCCAAGTGAATACTCTATATTCCATATCCTTTTCTTTCAGAGCGTGCAGTGTGTCACTTGAGTTATGCAGCTAAGATACAGCTTAAAACAGTAATACATACTTTTATAAAAACAAGTAACAAATATTTATCAAATGCATTCAATCTGCCTTTGTTTAGCGCCTCTATTTTCTCTTCCTGGGTTATGTTGCATTGTCTGTGGCCAATGTGTTACATTTCTGTTTAGTCCCAGAGTGGGTGTAACACAATCAATAGTGATACAGAAGGACCAAGACAAGAACTGCTCTGCGATTGATATTAATATGATACCGTCTGATTTGAATATATAACGTAACAGACCAAGATTTGAAGATGCTTCTGCTGTCAGTTGTCCCTGCTAAATCAATCTTAATATTTAAATTGGGTAAAAACAAACCAGCTAGACTGGCTGGCATCAGTATGGCATTGCATTTTTAGGACTGGATTTTTTTCGTTTTGTTTCAATGGCCTACACAGAAATGAACACGGAGTATGTAGGGCTGATGAGCAGCACCTACCTTGCTCGTATTTCACTCATCTTTGAGGAGCAGGTCTGTTCTGGCTCGGTTTGTTAATGCCTGGGGTTAGACTTTGTGGAGGAGATGAATGAAAAAGAGGCTGGTTATTGCAGCTCACCTTTCCAGACACCATTTGTTTCCTACGTGGCGGATATGTGAGGATAAACCCTGATGGTGCCATGTTGGCTTATTCTGAGTGGGATAGAAAATATGCTTTATTTGAAATGGGCCAAGTACCAGTTGCAGCCTTTGCTCCTCTTCCGTGGAGCAGAACAGTTAAAAGATCTCATGATGCTTAACCTAGAGACTGCTTCAACCTTGTAACCAGTCACAGAACCTACAAATGGCAACTTATTCCTTATCATTTAGTTTCAAACTTAAGCAAACAGTTCCACCCCCCAGCCCCTCCACCTCAGAGAATCTGATTTCTGGAAGGAAATGAATCTTATGTGCTCCATATGGTATTTTCCTAATAGATTTCTTCATGCCATAACAATTGATGGAAAATATTTGGTTGAGAGAGAAGCTACAGTCTGTCAGGATGTTGCTTGTTTTTTGTAAATCAATGCCAGGACCTGAAGGGGGGAAAAATAAGAGGAAAAGGCTTGAATGGATACTTATTTCAAAAACTTAACAAAAAGAATAATAATATTCGTGAACTCAAATGTTGAGAATCTTTCTTTCTCTTCCTTTTTTCCCCGTAGTTTTTTTTTTATCTTAAAAAAAGAAACATCTTAGTTTTCCAAGTCAGACTTACGGTAACATCTTAACCACAACATGCCAAAGTTGTTAGATTATTTTAAATCTTTTGCCAGAATCTGGACGTTTGCGCAGAGTATTCCTATTTCCAATACAAAACAAAATAGTTGCTCGAATATTCGTGGCAGTGCTGTCATCTTTAAAGTTTTATTTTAAAATAAAAGAGCATCATATTTTTTATGGGTTTTTTTGCACGAGATTTGCTCCTTGGTATGCTGTAAACATCCATAGAACTGTTTTGGAAATCCTTTTTTCACTGCTGTGTAGGAGAAGCTTCTTCAGGAGGTGGCATCGTGCAGCTTGGCGCTATCAGTAAGTGTTCAAAAGGAGATCGGCAATTTCAGGGGGTTGCTAGTGGCTGCTGTGGATTTAGTTCTGCCTTTATAAACACTTGTAAATAATGTATTTTTCGCTATAGTGAAGTGAAACCACAAACCCACTAAAACTATTCTGTATCTCACCGAAAATTAAAGGTAAAGGGATGGAGATGGAAGGCAGAAGATGAAGCTGTTCTGCTGGTAGGGCCAACTGGAAGCTCAGTGGGGAAAACTAAAAAGTAACAATAATAATTTCCTTATGTCCACCCAAACACATTCCATTGCCCTGTGGGATGCTCCTTGCTGGCGTCCCATGGACATTAGGAAATTAAATATAACCTCTAACTGCAGAGTGTTTTATTTGTGATGTTCAGTTGCAGCCTTAGCCTTCAGGTTCATAGTAACCTGAACAAGCATAGAACTATGTTTGTTATCCAAGAGGAGCATATAGTTGGTGTTCAGAAAGAAAGTCTCTCTCAGGGTTACATGCAAAGAATATGAATAACTCATGTTTATTTTGCTTATACTTTCTAAAAGGTCATTTTCATGGCCTTGCTCCTAGATGAACTTTTTTTTTTTTTGGGAATACTGATGTCTTGATGAACTTGCAGGGCAATATTAGGTTCTGTCAAGAGCTGGACAAATCAGCCTTAGGTGCAGTGCACATATCTGTATTTATCTGTCCTTTCTGGAGTACATTCATTAGGAAGTATGTTAAAACAAAAGTAAATCTCTTCTGCAACTTCATCCTCATATATAAAGATACGCACAGTAGAATCTTTGTAGCTATCAGAGAGACAGTAAAAAAAAAAATCCATCTAGGGAATACTCTCAATAAGAGCAGGCCTAAATTGCAGGCAAGCAGGCAGTCGTTTTGGCATATTTTGCCCTAGACACTTAGGGAAGGGTTAGCAATTCACTGGGTCAGGTACTGATTAATTCCAGGCAGATTGTTTTTTATTCATAGTGTGCCTTGTGGCATAACGCAACTAATAAATTTTCCAGTGTGTTATGAAGGCTTAATGTAATCCATCTTGAAGAAGGAGCTGGAGGGGCGGGGGGAGAGTGAAATTTAGAACAACAGCTTCCCTTGCCAACATTGAGTTCCATCAGGAATGGTGTTTCTTAGCTAGGTTTAATTTTGGAGATTGTTTATGTTGCTTTGAGTTTATTTGGGCAGTAGCAAGCCTGAACCAAGTTCCTAAAAAGGAAAGTGTTGTTGAAAACTGTAGCAAAAAAGATTTTGCAAGGTGGAAGCCATCCAGCTGAGTATCTGTGCTGTCCTTTGCAATATACTGTGCCACTAAGGAAGTGGCTGAAAAAGGTTTTGAAATGAAGGGAAAATACTCTGAACTTGTCCCTTTCAGATAGAAAATCTCTATTTAAAAGGAGAAAAAGGGGGAATTACCCCCCCCCAAAAAAAAAATTTAGACAATAGAGTGCCTAAAATTATTTTCTTAAAATCGCTCTTGGGCCTCTGTGTTGAAGTAGCCCAATTCCTAGAGGCACCAGCCATGCACTCAGAAGAACTTTCAAAGTTGCCTGAACTGGGATCACTCACCGTCTTTCACATCAGACCACTGAGCTGTCTGCATGTAAATGTGATTATTTCAGGCACCGGCTTCTCCTATGCATCTTTTTTTGTCTAGTTAAGTTGCATGTTTGCCATGGTGCAGGGTTCAAGGCTGGAGGAGTGATTGGAGGAGATGCCTCCCCAGGGGATGGAGCCCCTACGGCCCCCTTCCAGCCAAAGCGTTACAGTCATTTCTGCCATTCTCCAATTTGTTCTTTCCTCTTTTCTTTAGTGTCCTCTGCTGCATTTCTCTCATGTCAGAGTCAGTCCTCCTCTCGAAACTGCAACGTCACTTAATTCATGCTTCTGTTCACAGCTTTGTAAAGTGAAACTGTGTTGGATTCCATTTAACATGCCCTGAAAACTGCACATAATTCTGTTAACCATTTTTTACCCCTTTGAGATGAAAATTGCTCATGTGCTCATTGCTTCCTCTCTGCAGCTCACACCCACACACATATATGTGAGCAGATACCCATGTGTCTGCCAAATTTCTGCCATATGTGGGCACATTTCAGGAGATACTTTTGCTGCTGTTTTTCCAGGTTAATTCTGTTCCTCTGTCTTGTCAAGAGGCAGCCAGATTCTCTTTCTTTGTACACTGTACTTGTCATTAGCTGCTTATTAGGCCTTAGAAATGCTGAAGAAATAACTGTGTGTGTAAACACAGCAAGGAAAATAAAAAAATACTTATGTAAAATTAATCCCTTAGTTCCAGTTTCATGTTGGTGTTTTATAGTCAGTAGTACACTGATGTCTCGGAGCATGAGACCTGTTTGTGTTTGGAGTCTATTTTATTGTTTGTCTTGTATGTAACAGAAGAGGCTGGAACAGTGATGTGTGAAAAATAAAACACCACTTTGTAATCTAACTGCTTGAGGACCCTTGTTCTTGCTAACTGCAGGCCATGCAGGACAGCCCCGTGTGTGACTGCAACCTGTGCTCTTGTAGGGGATATTTTATATGGTCCAAGTTGGGCGAAGGCTCTTCAGTAAAAGCTTTGGTCCCTCAAAACTCAGGGAGGGGCATTTAGCAGAAACAAAAAAGGAAAAGTTCAGTTGAAAAATGACCTGCATGGACTCAGCCCAGTGTTATTCTTAACTTCCATGCTTAATGAGCAATTGCTTAAAATAAACTCCCAGCATCATACAGCACGACCTCAAACTTTTCATAGGGCTTCCATGAAAGCATTTCAAAGGAAGTATCCTGGCTTTTACTGAGAAGAATCACTAGGATTTAGAAGTTAAAAAGCAAAGTTCTAGTGTAAAAAACAACAATTCTGTTCACAGCTCTGTTACTGCATGTGACAGTGAAATTCTTACTCACTTCAGGTCCTCACTTGTAAGGGACAGTAATGTTCTTTGCTTATAAAGCTCTTGAGATCCCCTGATAAAACCCTGGTTACCTCTTGTTGGCTGTGAATGAGGTAAGGTCCCCAAAATTGTGAATTCCACTGAAAATATATAGCTTCGTTATATAGCTTGGTAAAAAGTGAAAGATGCCTGTAGAATGATAATTAGAAACGGATCATCAGAAAAGATTGAATTATTTTGGTAGAAAATAGTTCATTAAGAAATTACTTCCGTTCATTTATCAGCATTTATAGTAGTTTTTTCAGAGGCATCATTCAAAGAAGATGCATGCTGTCATCCTCTGCCTGGTCAAAGATTGACTTGTACTGGGAATTATAAATTTTATGGGGAAAAATAAGTTGCTTTTGCTTCGTAATTGATAGCCTCTTTGCAATTAAATTCATTAGTGCCTTGAAATGTATTTTTAATGATTCACTGCCTGTTGTGACTGAATTCCTTGGAAAACCTTGTAAAAGAGTTTGCAAATCCCTTAAAATCAGTCAGCAGTGTTAACTATTGGTAGATGTTTTTTGAAATGTCTCATAGGAAATGGCTATCTTAAAGCTTTGGTTGGGAAATAGCCTTGCTAAAGACTTAGCTGACTAACGAATAAACAGAACTAATCTCCTGAATGCTCCTATTAGTGAAGCACTGGGATGGAAAACAGTGCACATGTATGTTTTGAAATTATTCATTTGTTTGTGACAACTACTCCTGTTACACAACTGAAATGACCACTTAGTAAAACATCCACATTTTTTCAATCTTTCAACATATTGACCCAGATTTAATCCTTATAGAAAAAAAAAAAAAAAAGTGCACTTGGCTGTTAAGTGCAAGCACAAAACTAATGAATAATCTGAGCCGTGTCTTCTTTAAGAATGATTTTAATATATCTATTCACAAAAGAAAACTGAGCATAGTGTGTATTGACATAAAGTATTAAATGACACTGTGGTTCCTGTAAGTGCTGTAGAGCAGCGGTGCCGGGAATGTTCCTGTCCATGGGCCGCTCTAATGGAATTTGTGCATCTGCTTCCTCTTCAGCAGCCAGGGTTGCTCTGTATGTCTGCAGGGTGTGTAGGAGAGAATCTAACTAAGAAAGATCTGATATGAACCCAGAGGTAATGTTTGAATCCTAGAGAAAATGAGGTTATTTCATATGATCCAAAATACGTGGAATTAGATAAAACCAAGGCAGCAGCATATGTTTTCATTCTGTTTTCCTAAGTGTAATGGTGTTTGTTTTCTTTAGGAATGACTATACCAGAAGAAGATGCTGATGTTGGACAAGGTAGTAAATATTGCCTCGTGGCAATAGGAAGGCTTCAGGTAATGGAAGTGCTTCATTATATGAACTATTTTGAAGGCATCATCAGTGCTGTGGTTTAGCTGTAACGAATTAGTTCAGAGCTTTGTGTTTTTTACATTTCTCCAAAATAAAGGCCCCTGATGCCTGTGTACAGCCAGTGACTTTTTTAGAAACTGCTGGTAAAGCAAACTGAAAATGTTGTTTTGGCCTATATTGCTATTCAACCCAACAACAGTAGTGAAGATGCTTCTAATTATCACACATGCCATCCTCAAAGTTAGTGTAGGCTGGGATCTGCTAGACAGTGATAAACTTGGGGGTACAGGTGATGTAGGTGGTAGGTTCCGGTAGCTGCCAATGTTGATGTGCTGCCCACTTTGCTCTCCAGCATGCTCTCTTTCTCTCTGTAATTGATTGCTTGGAAAACTGTGGTTGTAGAGGTTGTTTTGGAAATAATAGATAAGACAGTCAAGAGTGAATCACAAATTACAGCTTTGTTCTCAATATGTAATCTGTTGTACATTCAGATGTTGTGTCAGTGGGGGAAACTGGAAATAAAATTTTACTTCCTTTTTGTCATGATTATTCTAAATGATATATTTTCTTCCTTTTTCTTTGCTGATAAGAGTTCTGAGCTAAAACCAGAGCAGTTGAGGTGAATCTCTGTTGTCACAGCAGTGAACAGGCCAATTTTTATTTCCCTGACCTAGCAATTCAGCCGTTAGTGAAAATCTTTGAGCCTGCTGCGGGATTTCTTGTTGGCCTGCACTCATTGCCATCTGTTAGGATGACATCAGTTCTCACAAGGTACCCAACCAGTTTTGTTTGACGTGAACAACCTGCACGTTAACGACAGTGCTATCACTTCTGCAGCATTTGTCTCCTATGTGACAGCGCCACAGAAATATTGCATGATGTTTTTTGACTTAATTATACTTTTGTAATCAAGAATAAAATATTCCACTAATGGAAAGAAGCAAGTTACAGTGATTCGGATGTCGCATGTGCCAAAAAAGATGATTTCCCAGAAAATTGCATTAGTAACATGGAGTGTCAAAACATCTGTTACCTAAGAGAAGCCAGCAGGCGCTATGAAAGAGAGGACAAGAAGAGGCTCTGGCCTTGGGTTCAATCATAAAGGAGTCAAAGTGCACAAATTAAAAACCAAGCTCTATAACAGAAAATTGAAATCCTGCATACAAGTTATTACACTTCAAGGCAAGACTTAAAAAAAAAATGTTTTATTCTTCTTGCACTTGTGTCTGGTTAAGAGAGATGGCCCTGAAGAAAAGGATAGTCTCATTTGTAGTTCCACTAGGAAAGGAGATGAAAAGTCCCAGTTGCACAGGTGTCAGGTAGATAGTTGGAAATGCGTCATTCACTCTGATGAGCTTTCAGGAGCATTAGACAATGATAGAAAAAAATGTTAGATAGAGCTGCCAATGAAGTAGCGAGTGGACCTTTTCTAGAGAGCAGCCTGCACATTCTGGAGGCTGGTTAACGTGTTCTCTGGAAATATCTCACTTCTAGTTGGCATTGAGATGTCCAGCTTTTTAAGGTGCTTCCAGCATGTGAGGTGAACATAGCCTTGTTGGAATCTTCTCCTAAGTGCCATAAGGAGGCTTATTTGCACTGCAAACTAAACTGTAACCACTCCTGTGTCATATATTCGTGTTGTTTTATTTGTTACTTCCTTCAGCAGTTAACAGTCTGCCAACAGATTTTCTTCTTTCCTGGAACAGAATAAGCAAATTTGATTTACAATGACTATTCTGTGAAGTAAATGCTGTGGACTTGATTGCTTGGTCTTAGGTAACCAGCTCTCCAGTGTGCATGGACATGAATGGCATGTCAGTCCCAACCGAGTTCTTGTCCAGACACAACTCCGATGGAGTCATCACCTTTGTCGACCCCAGATGCATCAGTGTCATTGGCTACCAGCCCCAGGTCAGTAAATGGCTGTGAATGCAGAGACAGCTTAGAAATAATGAAAAAAATATTTGCACATGAAGAACAAAAGCAGCAAAATATGAAATATTTCCAGCTTGTCATTCATAGATCAGATGCTGAATGCTATTTGCTTTTCTTTGCTATTCATGCCTTTAAAATTTAGGGATTTTTCTTTGTCATGTGGGAAATCACTTTATCCCTTTTAAGTCTATTCTCAATTCTAACAATAAATTGCTTTAGATCTCACATTGCTTTCCAGTGAAGACTTGTCTGTGATAGAAAGTTATCAGAGCTTGGAGTGGGTCTTAGTCCTGTAGACCTTAACATCCAAACAATTTAATGGACAGTAAACAAACACCTTTTTATAGCATCTATCTTCCTTTAGGCCTGCATCTGCTCCTTTGAATAAAGGCTAGTCATGACTGAATATGACTAATTACCTCCTAATAACAACACCACCATCAACATTTAACCTTAAGCCCAACAATAACTGTTTTCTGGTCTCAAGAGTTGCAGTTTACAGGCAAAAGTCATTTCTCTTCTAGCTCATTTGTTTTTCACATTTATATCAATTTTAGGTAGCTTTATAGCAACTGTTCTTACAAATAATAGTGCTGTAAAATGAACTTTAATAGAGAATGTTAGTCTCTTCAAGACACCATTTTCAGGTATTAAAAATTCGATTAAAATCTACTTGTAAAATATATATGTCTATGCAACAGTAGGCAACAATGTGGACCATGATACCCATAAAATTTGTTTGGAGGCCTTGCCTGGTTAAGTGAGTATTCCCATTGAGGGTGGTGGATCTGGTGTTTGCAAGGCTTGCTTACACATATGCAGTATGGATTTGCACTGTGATTTGTTTTTTTCTTTTACAAAGCTTTGTTTTATATTTCTAGGATCTTTTGGGGAAAGACATTTTAGAATTCTGCCATCCTGAAGATCAAAGCCATTTGAGAGAGAGTTTCCAACAGGTGCTGCAACCTGCTGCCTTTCTTCTGCTATTTATTTATTCATTTATTTATTATCTTTTTTTTTGTCTGGGGAAGTTGCTTTTATTTTTCTTTTCAGGGTACTTATTCTGTTATGCAGGAGTAGCAGCAAGGTATGAATTAATTTCTTAATAAACTAATGATCAGTTAAACCGCATAAATGATAAAACTACAGCAACTGTTAGCTGTATTTTCAAAAATGTCAGTTATACATTTTATTTTACTAATAATTAAATGAGTGTTCACTGCTAAGTTAAGCTGTTCTAGAAATTATTGTTTAAGAGATGCCTGTGTAGGTCACACTAGGTGAATGGGAACCCAAAGTATTTACCTTCAACAAGATGGGCTATTGCTTTGGAAATAGTTACACTCCGTTGTAATGCTGGATATTTTAAGAAGGGAATATCCACATATGCAAAGTTTAGCATTCTCAAACTTGCCTAACACTGGACCTTACTGTGTTCTTTCTGAGGCTGCTTAAAATTTTACAAGTGGCCTCAGAGAGAATAGGGTTAGCTGAAACTCACTGAGTTTTAAAATGGCACCTGTAGTATAGTCTGTGACCTAAATTCTTTGCTGGTGTAGGCAACGACATGTCCCATAAGCTTTGAGGGATTTGCACCACTTCACATCAACAGAAAATTTGGCCCTTTTCCCTATTGGGGAACTGAAATGCAGACAGATTTAAGAACAGAAAGGTAAGAACATAAGGAAAATTACTGCTCTGCATTTTTGCAGTAGGCCACCGTTACCTCAAGTATAGCAGAGGAGTTCAGTGTGTTGCAGAGGTGACTGTTTCAAACTGATACAGGATGTACAAGGAGAGATTTCCCCAACATTTCTGTCTGTTAACTGGTCTTTTCAGTGCCTTCCATTCTGCACAAGAAAGCATCGTGTGGCATGTTTAAGTGATTACTGAAGTTCAGATATTTTAACAACAGCCTTTAGATCAAGCAAGTTTTGTTAATGCATCGTGTTGGATGTTGAGATTTTCATGGATATGAAGTGGATTTTAAAATAATTTGTATAATAATTATTTATTCAGGAAAAACGTGCAAAAGTAGAGCTGCAAAAACCTCTCTGGGGAAAGCAAAAAATGTTTTTCTGTGTTCATAGAATAGGTTATGAAATTGAGGGTTATGGTCCCTACAGAACTGAGATATCACTGACTTTGGGACCATGCTGTGTCTGTGTCAGTGCCACATCAGTGGATTGTGTTCAAATGGCAGCTGAAAACCTTTTGAATTTAAGATGTTGATTCCCAGGCAGAGGCAGAGCGATGTTAGATGCTCCTGATGTAGGTTATGGCACCCTGTCACTTTTCCAGCCCTGCCTTGCTGGGGATGTGATGCTGGAGCTAAACCTGCCTGATGGTTACCTGTCACTAAGAGCAAGGTCCTGCTCCCTTTTTTCCCTCATGCCTGACCTCTTCCCTGCCCTTCGTGCTCTCCTGACACTAACACAGATGGACTTGCTGGGTGAGCTAGCTAAGAGATTAATCACTTTTCTATGGGGCTGGTTTTCGGGTGGTTCAGCTCCCTGACTTGCTGCCTGACCACACCAGTGGTGTGAGAAGCGCAGCCAGAACACACACTGTTTATTCACTAATGCTCAAGTGATTCATTGCACTGATTTATGTGAGAGACAGTGACAGAAAGCTGCTGGGCAATACCCTGTCAAACATCCATCCCTAAAGTGATTGTCTTAACAGAGCTGGTGGCTCACGAGGGCTGGCTAACGAACATTCAAATTAATGACTCGATACTCACTGTGTTCAGTTGAGAGTGAGATCAGGCCATAAGAGGCTGCTGTTGTATCCCTGAAACCAGTAAGTACTTGTTATTAGGCATATGCATAAATGTTTTACTGGATCAGGGACCTACATGATTTGCTCAAGGTCACAAAACAAGACAGTGGAAAAAGCGCAGGAGTGAAAAGTTCCTGTTCCCTGGACCAGAGTTCAATATGAAAATACCGCACTGTTTCTTCAGCAGGCAGCTCCTCCTTTGTATATTTTTGTTCCGTACAGTAGCAATGTGATCAGGGCTGTGATTTTGTTCATGGAATAAGACTGAAGTAAATGGGTTAGCTATGCACCAGGTGGTTTTTATTCCCGAAGAATGTTAAAAAGTAAAGGTTAAACATAAGCTTTTATTTTTGTGTGTGTGTGTGTATGTTATCCTGTTTGTGTGCACTGCTTTAAGACAGTTCACGATTTTCCCACCAGAGATTTGTGTGCTTTATATTATTATTACAGAATTAGTGTTTGTTTAATTCATACTTCAGGACAATAGATTATTGCAGTTTGTTTTATTATTGTTAGTTTGGCCATAGAAATCTTTTCGCTGAAAGGTAACTGTGATTTCCAGTAAACTCCTCTTTTTTTTTTTTTTTTTCTTCTCTCAAACTTGCTGAAAACTTGACATTCCTATTTTGCTGACAGTATCAGGTTGGTGCATAACTGTAAGAGGGAGGGAGGGTTTTGCAGTTTTTGGTCTGTTGCCAGCGTCTATTTCAAAGCTTTTTCTTCCTTGGGAAGATAAATTCATTCATCAGGCAGGGTGGGAAAATCAAGCCAGAATGCGATATTCTCAAGGCCAAGATCAACAAATAGAGTTTAGTATCAAAGGTTCCAGAAAGCAGTTATCTGATATCCAGTGGATGCTGTTCAGATTGGACATTTCTACACAAGTTCAGTTGGTATTCTTTTCTCTGGGTGTGGTGGTAGAAAATTGCTGATAACTGAGTGTGGCTCACTGAACTCAAACTACAAAAGCATTTATTTAGAAAAAGCTATTTACTTCAGTTATTATTTTGATTTTTTTTCTGGGCATTACTGAAAATATTGTGTCTCCTGTTGGCATTCTTTCATTTAATCCTGTATCTAGCTCATCAATATGAAATACTGCCCTACACTAGGCTCTAGGTAGCTAATAAAAATGAATTCCAGGGGTTAAGTAGGTTAAGTATTAAGAGTCTTCAATGAGATATGGCATTTATTTGCAGCAGACCTTCCCCATGCTTCCCTGAGGCACCTCAGAGACAGCTTGGTGAAAAAGCAATAAAAAATGAATACCAATAGTCCAGGTTAGTGCCAGCCAAATTCCTTTAAACCTTTTAAGTCTTCCTCTGACCTAAACTAATATTAGCTAACATGTGCTATAATAATTAGATTATCTAATATTAGATAGCATGTGCAATGTAGTTGAGTGGCAGTGTGGAAGTATTTATTTGAGCATACTACTTTGGTTGACTGCTGCTTAAATTCATCCAGGCTTTTGCATAGAGGGGACGGATTTAGGTCTCCAAGTCTGGAGTAGGCCGTGGATTGGCAGAGTCTGTGCAGCCCAGGACCTGTTTGTTCAGTTTGAGACAGCCCAGGGTCACATCGTCATCCTTGCCCTCAGAGCCCTGGTTCTGCCCATGGCGGTGACAAGCTGGGGGTAAAATTCCTTCCTGGGTACTCAACTGTTGCCTTCAATGAAAGTTTGGCAATCAAAGACAAAATCTAAACTGGATATTACCAGACATCTGAATTCTGACTTAGCTCTAAACAAATCGGCCCAAGGGACAAATTCTCACTCTTTTAATTAACACTTTAAAAATAGACCTTACCTTATTGGTGCTGTCTGCATTCACAGAGTGGTGCCTCATTCTTTCACTTATGAGAGATAGAAGCATTTTTTGTCAGCACTCTGCCATTCTAAATAATCCTTCATTTGATTTAACTGCGGCCTATTTTTAGTGCAAAAATGCTAGATTTTCTCAATTACTGCCTTTACTTGTGATGCATAACCTTTGCCTAGCTTTGTAAAATCACTGAAACTGTTTTTAAGTGGATATTCTTATTTATTTATCAGCTTCAGCTTAGCTCTTTAGAATGGAGTGCTTTAACTTTGGCAGGTATTGCACACACAATTTTCAAGGCTCATTTCAGCAAAGCACTGCAGCATGTACCTAAATATAAGCATGTGGTAGGTTCATTTATATTCAATTATGCCCTTAAGAGCTGTTTAATTTAAGCACATGCTAAATTCCCATTAGATGGTAAGCTTAGCACACAAGCATTTTGCTGAATCTGAGACAAAGCACTTGTGACTTTCTTCATCTACAATTATCTCTTTAGTTATTTATCTTGTGTATATGTATCTTGTTTCCATCTAACATAATTGCTAGATTTTGTGTATTTTTGTGACTTCATACTCTATGATCTAATTGTTCCCTGCAAGACCTGGCTGGGTTTATGCAACATTGAAAAACTCACCTACACATCAGAGACAGACCGGGGCTATTTCTTTTTCCACTGTTTGTCTTTCCCATTAACTATTGTCTAAATAATTGATCTGTCCCATTTTTATTTATATTCTTCTTCTTTCATTCCTTTAATTATTAATGTTTTCCTTTCTCTGATTTCTTTTTCTTCTGGTTTCTCACTTATTTTTTCTTGAGGAAATTTAGTGAAGTGGTTCTTTATTCATTCTCCCATCTGCTTGTGGTATCTTGGGCAGCTTAAACACTACTTTTGGTTTTCCCGTCCAAATCTTGTGGTGTTTTGCTCCTCTCCTCCCACCCCTAGCAATTGCCTCATTGCTTGCAGGGGGCTGAGGGGGCCTCCATCTTACATCATTGTATAAATATATATTGTGTATAATAAATATTCTTCTGTTTTTGGCTTGATCCGCACATTGGTGTTTGGGTTCCCTTTCTTGATATTCCCTCAGAGCTCTGAACTATTCTAGGGAGACTTTTATAGGGCAGTATAACAGAGTTGGGGAGAGTTGGTTATACTTGCCTTTAGGCAAGAAAGGTTGTTTTAAAGGAACAAATGCACAAGGATGTTGTTTTAAAGCACTTGGTCTCAGTAGAAGGAGCTGGTGAAAGACAGTTAGAAGAGGGAGGTGCTCAGCAGAGCTCTATCTAGGTATGACACCAAGGAACTGAGCAGAAACTCTAGAAATGGCTTTATTGAATAGTCTTCCTTATAACCAGTGGTCTGTGTGAGCTGTGTCCACTGACATTCCCATAAAGCATCTTTTCTTAATCTTCAGGGACATAGTTGTAATGTCTTCTCAAGTGGAGATAAGAGCAGACGCTTTCTAAGAGAGCAGAGTTCTGAGTAATTCGCAGTGTGATGTTGCTTGAGAAACCATGTCAGGATGCAACATCGGGTCCCCAAGGTCCAGCTACTACCTCTTACTATGATGGCAGGAGAGACATGCAGCTCAGAAGCTGGGCTGATGCATCGTGGCTGTCCTGGCAGCAGAAAGCACAGCCGCCCTGAGCAGTGCTTGGGGTCTTTCATCTTGGAGAGATTCTGCCTTTAAGCTGCGTTTGAGAGAGATGTCTCATGAGTTCTTCCAAATTGTGCTGGGAGAAGGGGCCCCAGGCTGCCTTCCCCAGCCCTCTGGCAAACCTGGCTGCCCTGTGATCAAAAGCGCTGAGCTGGCACAAGTATTTCCTCCTCAGCTGTCACCGTTTTCCAGCCATGTTAATAAGCTCGACTAAAAATTTTGGTGATGGAGCACGTCTGGATTTGCCTGCAAGGGCTGTCAGCACCCTGTGGAGAGAAGTGTCAGAGGTTAATCCATCAGGGACATACGAATCAGAATCCCCAAGGATGCAGCAGGCTTTCGCTGCAAGGATGTAGAATGAACACCTCTAGTCACAGGATAGGCAGCGTTCAGAGCATTACAGGAAATGATATTAGTAATCTGCAAACAGATTTTGGCACTAGGATAAAGACTGTCAGACTTCTAGTGTCTTTGGGGAAAAAAAGCCAGATACAGTTTCTAAAATAAATAAATATATATATATCGTTCTAAACTTTGATTCTAATGTATGATTTTGGATGTCATGTATGTGAAATGGATAACTATCCAAGAAGAAGACAGGCAACCTCATAAAATGTGTTTTAGGTTTTTGTTTCAGGTGCTGCAAAGTTTGCGTCAGGATGTACATATATTTAAAGGATGCCTCAGTTTGGTTTCTGTCAATGCCTCTTGACAAACATTCCACACTAAAATTTTCTTAAAGCTTCCCTGTTGGGGTAATAACACAACCTGTTTTTTCCTGAGTCTGTATTAATCTTGTATGCAAATTGGGAGAGGACATTTTCAGCAGCAAAGCATGAAGCTTTCATTCTGAATGAATTCAAAAATTAATTTTGTTAATTCTCATTGTATTAATAATATCCCTACTGTTTCCATATCTTTCTCTAATGAAATCACACACCAGTTACGTGGTTTACTGTTAATTTTCACCTCAGGTAGCAATCTGCTGTCAGTAACCTTTCCAAATGGTTTTGCAGGTTGTGAAACTGAAAGGTCAAGTCCTGTCTGTGATGTATCGTTTTCGTACCAAAAACCGGGAATGGATGTTGATCAGAACCAGCAGCTTCACATTTCAGAATCCTTATTCTGATGAGATTGAATACATCATCTGCACCAACACTAACGTCAAGTATGTGCCTTTCCAGATGCTCACGTACATGGTGTTGAAAGAACATAAACATTGCTTTTTTTTGTAAGCAGTGTAAATGTACATTCAGATTTTTGTGGTAGACTGTTTCCAGTTGCATTTCTTTCCGCTATAGCAGTACAGTCCCTAACAGAGGGTTTCTGTATCAGAAGTACTTGCAGCTACAGCTGTTTCTCTGTCCTTATCTTGTGGTGCTCCCAGGGCCTGGCTGTCCCAGAGATAACTGTCACGTATCTGTTATGTCACTAGCCGAGCCCGTTCAGCTCAGTGCAGGCTGTAATAACTAGCACAGGCCTCCAGCAGAAGAGCAGCCGTCACAGTATTGGGGAAAGATTAGCCTGGTTCTTCAGCCAAAGAACAAACTGCAGATCTGTCCTCATAAGTTTCCCATGTCTAGGCAAGACTGCTGCTGCTTGTGAACTGAGGTCATAGGGTGTCATAGTCCTGGTTATGTTGAGCTAAGAGCATATAGAAGCAGGAAAAGTGATTTTCTAGAGAACTTGAAGAAGGGCTCCCAATACTCAGTCAAGATCTCGTGGGCTCTCCTCAAGTCTGAGGATAGATCCAAACTCCTATTAAACGAGGAATGAAATCATCTTTGAGTAATACTTGAAAAAAAAATCTGTCATTAAGCCTGTTAGAAGGAGGTTAAAAGAGGTGTTTAGGTCGGCAATTCATGGGGCTGCTTCTAAAAGCAAAGTTAACCTAGCACTGTAGTGAGCCTTCGTCTGTACAGAACAGAATAGAGAAACATTTGGTGCCACCTGAACACTGAGCCAGCAACTGCAGAAGCTAATCTGGATTTGATAAAAAAAAAAAAAAAAGTTCAGATATATTTTTTTAATATTTATTCTTTCCAATATAAACTTAAAGATCTTTCTAAAGCAAAATCTGCCTCGGGTCTGACCAGAGTTTTTTGTGCCAAGTTTTTTACCCAGAGGAAATCATTGGATTTAAGATTAAGAGTGCGTAATGGAAATGCTGAATGAGCAGTCTGCTAGGGGAGATGCTCCCTTGCAAAACCAAATCCCTGGGGCTTCAGTGTTTGAACTAGCTAGTAAGTGCTTCTCTTTAGGAGCAAGCTAGAGAATAGTAAAGCTGTCTGGCTGTGACGCATACCTGGGCTATAAGGGTCTTGGTTTTAGTCACTTGAAAGGCAGCCTAACCCTCAGTTTGTACATTTTTCCCCATATACCCTAACAAGTGGACTTAAACAACTGAATAGTTCAGTTCCTTGAAACAAGCCAATGTGTCTTGAAGTCAAATAGCTGATTATCTCTCTGCCAAAAGATATCTCTGCATTTCTGCTATTCCATATTTCTTTTCATAATGATTTGTTAATGAGAGAACAAGCCTGCAAAATAAGAGACTACTGATGAAATTTATCCCATGCTGGTTTCATTGTGCTTGATTCCCGGGAGCCCAGAGGTCAGAAACTCTGACTTAGACTGTTACATTCACCCTGGGAATGTTTTTTTTTTTTTTTTTTTTTTTTTTTTTTCTTCTAAGACTTGACTATACCGTTCAGCTTGGCATCACAGCATTTACTGTAATAAATAGGATTGTGCCAACTTCTGTCTCTTATTATATCTGTTTTAATATGTTTGAATAACAACCCAGAAATGTTGCCCTAATATGGAAGTTGCCTGCTGCTACTTTGACAGAGGACGTTCCTTCCTTTCTATCATGTTCAAAATGTTCTAGCCTTATGGCAAGATACAAACTATTGTTTGTTTTTAAATAGCAGAAAGAATGCTTTATTCAAACTTTTCACTCTTTTTTCCTCTGTTCTCTCCCACTTCTCTAACAGATGTCCAAAGAGGACTTACTATAATGCAGGGCTGTTCCTGTCTCTCGGATTTTGAGGGGGGCAGTTGCTAAATTCGCATTGCCTCTATGCCCTGGGGAGGTGCATAACCTGGGAGCTGTGGATTTCTGCCTCCTCGTTCAGCCTCTGCCAGGACTGGTCACTCGGTGCCAACCCCAGTGTTTGGGACCACCTCTGTGTGGCAGCGAGTGTGAGGTGCCATGAACCCAGCAAAGTGCTGCCCCCAGGGACCAGGCAGAAGGGTGACTTCTGTTGGGCATTCATAGGCAGTTTTGTGTGAGGCAAATACTGGTTTGCCTGGTAACTTGGAGTGTGTATCCAGCACCGCAAAATACAGGTTTGAGTCAGTTAAAATTCACCATGAATTTTAAAGATGGGATCCCTGATAATCTATGTTTAAACTCATTTTTATCTTAGCATACTTCAAAGCCACAAGTGCACACATCTGTGTGTCTGCCTGTTAAGGGGGAAGCTCTCAAATTTTGCATTGATCAGTGAAGAATGTTTTTTTGAAAAGACTGTAGAGGGCAGTGGTGGTTCCAGTTGCGGGAGAGGGTAATTGATTTTTGTTGTTTGTTTTGTTTTGACTTTCTTTTAAGGATATTCCTTTGGAGCTTCAAACAGTCAACTTTCCAAATTTGCCTTTGGTACGGAAGGATAGCGAAACATCAGGTTCAAATGTTCACTTAGTTCCTTACAAAAAAAAGAAAAGAAAACTTCTCTCAGTTTCTCTTGGGTGCAGTCATCCAAGAGAAACTTCCTGGAGAAATGAACCATTTAATGTTTAGCATTTGTGCTCTGTTCTGCTGAAAAGAAGAGTCCCCAGTTAGACCACATCTTCCTGTTTAATTGGGGTTGAGTTCCCGAAAGAAGCAATAATTATGATTAACATTTATGTAAGAAACATAAAAAGTAGCATTTGAATAAAACCATCCATCATGGTGACGAATGAATGATTTCTTAAAGGCTTTGTATACATGGAAGAAAAATCTTTTCCTGGTCTCTTAGAAACTTTGATGCCTTCACTTTTATAAGCCCCAAAGGCCTGTGTTCCACTGATTCAGGTTAGGAATTCTCCAGTTGTGCTAGGTCTCAAGATTTTCATCACCAATTGAGCTGGCATAGGTCACTACTGAGGTAAGACTGAGGGATGAATCAGGCAGCGCTTGTGGCAGGGGTGTTTTCTGGTTCTCAAGGGCCCGAGTACCAGTGATCAGTTATTTGGATAAAATTCCAGTCTGTGGTAGTGGAGTTACTTTCTCATGATCCCTCTGCCATCTGTGAGCAATCTGACCTCTTAAGGCCCAATATGGACCATTTATAGAGGTTAATCTAAAAGAGAGAAATTTTAAGAGTAACTGTAAGAGAACTTTAAAAGCCTTTGTTGCAGCCATTGCATTTGTCCCATTTTGTCCAAACTAGATACAAAAAAGTATGTGTGCTGATATTAGATTAAAAAATGCTTGGTAAGGATACAGTAGTGTTTGTTTCTCACTAAAGAGTCTGTGAAAAGTTCAGATTTTTGGGTTACTTTGATTCATGGTCCAGTTCTGGGCTCCACAGTACAAGAGGGATGTGGAGCTGCTGGAGAGAGTCCAGCGCAGCGCTACAAGGATGATCAGGGGCCTGGAACATCTGCCCTATGAGGAGAGGCTGAGGGAGCTGGGCCTGTTCAGCCTGGAGAAGCGAAGGCTGAGAGGGGATCTAATCAGTGTCTATAAGTACCTCAAGAGAGGCAATGAGGAGGATGGTGCTGGTCTCTTTTCGGTGGTGGCCACTGACAGAACTAGAGGTAATGGCCACAAACTGAAACACCAAAAGTTCCACAGGAACTTAAGGAAAAATTTCTTAACAGTGAGGGTGACAGAGCACTGGAACAGGCTGCCCAGAGAGGTTGTGGAGTCTTGTTCTCGGTAGATCGTCAAAAAACCTGCTTGGACACAGCCCTGTGCCACGTGCTCTAGGTGACCCTGCGTGTGCAGGGGGGTTGGCCTAGATGATCTCTAGAGGTCCCTTCCAACCTTAAGCATTCTATGATTCTGTGATTCTATGGGAAACAAGCAGGTGACTTCAGTCACCTAGGCAGAGGGAGAGAATTCAGCTAAATCTCTCCAAAGTCAAAAAGAACTTTTGCAGTTTAGGCAGAGGGAGTCTTTTTGGCTCTCCAAAGTCAAAAAGAACTTTTGCAGTGTCTTCCCTTCTCCTCCAAATACATTTACGTGAATAAACTTGAATTAACTATTGAAACCTTCCACTTCAGTGAAGCATTCCTTGTTTCAGCCAGGGGTTTCCTGCTTTTCCTACTGAACTTCCGAGGGAGCCAGGCATTGCTGCAGAGCGCATAGAGTTCAGTGTCGACCCAGGCAAACTTATTTGCTGGGCTGGGTATTGCCTGTAGAGTCTGGAGGTTTCACTTTCTTTTATTTGTTTAAGCTGTGAATTGGAAATGAAAAGTAGGGGCGATTGGGCTTTGATCTGAAAGTCAGAATGCAGTTTGTGTTTTGCCCAAACTTGTTTTGTGCCATCTTTATGAAAACAATCTAGAAATTCAATGATTGAAGGGATTTTCCTGTAATTTTGGGTTAGAAGGGCTGATTAGATGGCAGTGTTAGAAGTGACCACGCAACAGTGTTGAGCTCCCCCTGCTCACCTGTGTCCTGAATTCACACATGGCTCAAGCATTATTTGGACCATTTCTACAGCAGCAGCAATCAAGAGCTGAAAATGTTAACCTGGTTTTGCATTTCAATCAGAATTGAGTGCAGTTTACATACAGTCCAGTGAAGATATGCTTAAGTATTTGGTTTTCATAAGGAGTGGATTTGGTAGGTTGCTCCCTAATTTCACTGCTGTTGACACAATGATATTTTTATTGTATTGTAGCTTAACGAGTATTACCATTGGTAGAGAAGGGTGAAGGAGCACAGAGTTAGAGAAGTGCCTACAAAACAAATAACGATAAGTATGCTATTTTATTTGGCTCATTTGTATGTATATGGCTGAATCAAGAAAACATACTTTATACGGAACAGAAGAGACCTAATGTGCTGTTTATTGACACACGCACAGAGTCACTGGTAATAAAAACAAATGAAACAGTGCAATTAGCGTTCACGTTAACAACAGGATTTAATGGGTGTTTATCGTCCACAGGGTGGTATTTAGGAAAACTTCCCCCTAGATTTGTTGTGATTAAATTACCTCCCATAGTTCTGTTGAAAAAGTAAGCAGTTCATGCTTGCAGAACAAAGAATTTCTTTGCGTTCCAGAGGTAATTTGGGGGTATTTTTTCTACCAGTTAAAATAATATGGAAAATCCATGGCATTCTAATAACATGGAGGGTTGGCTTTTTTTTAATGTTTTACTCATGATACAAAGTAAGGCTTGGAGAAGGTCTTTGGCTGTCTACACTGATTCTTCGTGCGTGTTGCCAGTTGCAGAATTTTCCAGCTTGCCATGAAGCCCGATAACAAGTGCCTGACTAAAGTGTCTTCTAGAAAGGCACCAAGTTTTGGTTGAAAGGCATGAAAGGATGAAAAAATCTTAAGTAGCGTGTTCTAGTGGCCCCTCGCCTTCACACCAGCTTGTGCTAATTTGTCATTTGAGTCTGTCTGGAAGTTAGTCTTGCAGTCGCTTGCAGTCTGAATCTATCTCGTTCAGAATTTGAAGGGCAGTTTTGATAAGAAACTGAAGCTAGTGATCAGGAATATATCCTGATTATCTAGAGTTCTGAGATCTGCAATCTTGGTATTTTGAAACATCTCCTCTACTGTTACCATCTATCATACCATAGTATTTCTTTCAAGGAAAAACCCATGGGGTGAGTAATTCCTGTCTGTTAGCTGACTTACTCCTTCAGAAAGAGGCCAGAGGCATCCGGAAACTGTGACAACTGTCAGATCTTACAGACAGTTTATTTTCTTCCCCCTGTTTCACCATAGGGTTTGGGTCAGTGCCCTTCATGGTCTTGGCATCTGCCACTCTGTGGCAGTGATGCTGCTTCACAGGAGGACCCTGGAGGGACTTGCCTTTTCTCAGGGCGATCAGCTTGTTGTGTGTGGCACCAGCACAAATCAAGGCTATTTCAAGGATCCTCAGAGTTTTCAACACTGAACTTCTTCATTCTGACAGGCTTCCCCTAAAGTTTATTGTCTTTTCCAGTTTGCTTTAGAGTATTTTTCTATTTCTGTTGCACATTTAATTTTTCCTAAGTTCTTGTAATTGGATTAAGGCTGTTACTTCCTGCGGTTCTTATGTTATTTAAAGAATTGTGTTTTTTCATATCTTATCAAGAGGAAAAGTAGACTTGTGTTTTCTCTACCATTTGTCAGCACAAATTGATTCTATGTAATGTCTTGAAATTAGGTAATGCTACAATTTGTTTCTGGAGATCTGCTGCCTTTAAAACCTTTCAAAAATTAAATAGAAATCTGGACTCTGGTCCCGAGGAGAATGAGCCCAAATCATGTTACAATGTATGCAGTCCTATATGCAGTCCTATCTCCTTCTCCCATTGCCTTCTAGCTCACCAGGTTGTTGCATTTAGTCTGACATGCTTCACACAGATCTGTAATCAGTTTTTCTTGATGATTGGCATGATTATGCATTAATATTACTAAGAGTTTTTCTGTTTACTTTAGTAGGATCAGGGAAAGTGGCTGACATATGCATCTTTAACATGCAGAAGATGATGTTGGCATCTTAACAGTGAATCCTTATATCTTTTATGAGGGTGTTGTATTCCATCCTTCATCACTTACCCACCCATATTTCTGTGCTATTACAGAACAACTTTCTATGGGCCCTGTTACATTCCTGTGGTGTAAGCTGTCTCAGTTAGAAATCTTTAAAACAGGTGAATCTTGCAAGAAAGGACTTACTAAATCATCTGACAGACATTTCCCTCTGAGTATAAAAGAGAAAGCCATGGTTGTTCCTTTTTGTATTTTAACTTTTTTTGTAACTGAAGTAATTTTCTCTCTTTTGCAGACAACTTCAGCAACAGCAAGCAGAACTTGAAGTACATCAAAGAGATGGGTTGTCATCCTATGACTTATCTCAGGTGAAATTTCTCAATAGTTCTTTATTTTTGTGCCTCTGATCTTTTGAAATGCAAAGCAATGGCAGATCTCAGCAGAGTTAAAACGCATTTTGATTATCCCTGAATTTTTCTGTCAAATATGATGGAGGGTATTAGATTCCTCTGCATATCTCAACAGGTGCCTGTTCCAAGTATACCAGCTAATGTTCATGAGGGTGGAAAGTCTGTCGAAAAGCCAGATGCTATCTTCTCCCAAGAGAGAGATCCTAGATTTGCTGAGATGTTTGCTGGAATTGCTGCTTGTAAGTGAATGTCTCTGCTATGTAATTTTTAATATTATGCTAAACATGGTTATATGGTGTGAAACACAGCTTGAAGACAAGGTACTACGTGGCAGAGAAATTTCCAGGTAAAGTCAGTTTTTCAAGACTGTTTCCTAGAATTTGTCTTAAGTTGATATTTCCCTTAAAGATGATGAGCAAAACTGCAGGAGGGAAGTGCTATATTCTCGATGGAGCTGCTTGGTTTTGGTTCTCTTTTCCTTTCACAAGAGCAGCTTATGCAGTGCAGCTCAGAGATAGTAAACCTGAAGCAGGATTTGAAGAATCTGCATATGTATTTTCTTAAACAGCAAATGTCACTTCATCTCAGTAAGTAGATGTGGATTAAGAACACTGCTAAGAAGTCTTAAGATGGGGTACTTTATCTTAAATCACTTGCTTTGGCCTTGAAGTTTTCAGGTGCATGTGCTGCTCTGAAGTGTTCCTTGTTTCTTAGGGAGATGAGGCATCTCCAGTTATTCTATCTGTCCAGCCTTCTCTCTAAGTCCCATATCCTTTTCCCCACAGTATTTTTAACCTGCTTACAAATATTTAGAAGAATGATCAGAGTCTCAGAAATAGTAAGTTCTTACACATTTCATGGAGATTACTGTGAGGATAAGGAGTCCTCGCTGAGTGCCCTTACTGAAGGATTTCTCAGCCCTGTTCCAAGAAGTAGCAGTAAATTTGTCAGTTGGATAGCTGTGGCCTCAAAGTAGCCCCAGCTTAGCTGCCTGTTGCCTGCACAGACAGGAATCATTCAGAAAACTGTCAGCTGAATGGGTCATCCAAAATGTATCTGTAGGAAACTAAGCTTTTGGAAGTACTTGTTTGTTGTTCTTTACCTTCCTGACCAAAAGAGAAAAGTTTTTACATTTGTTTTAAATAAATCAATGCTCAAGGCTCACACAGTGCATGAAGGAAACAACCCACAGGGTTTGAGTTTGGGGATGTTGAGAGATGACCTCACTGCGTTGGTTTCTTATGTATAACTTGACCTTTTCAAATGGAGAAGGCAGTATAGCTGCAGGAGAGACTTGATATTCTGTCTTCCTGTTGCTGGGACCTTTGTTATTCCTGTTCATCATTGTCTGTCTAGTCTAACAGTGAAGTCAACAGTTGAGGCTGTAAAAGGGGTCCATTAGAAGGTAGCAAGACTCCAACCCTAAACAACAGCATATGTTTTTCCAAGCAATAACATCTTACTTTTTGGCTGCCTTATTGGATCATTTTCAGGCAGCTCTCAACTGTTTGTGGGGATGGGTTAGGGTTAAGGATCTAGCAAGCTGTGAGGTTATGTTCTTGGAAATACCATTACTCTTTTCAGTTTTATCAATTTACAGGCTGTGCTTTTTTTGGGCCATTCACCCTTCCTGAATTTCTCATGAGAGCTGTGATCAAGGTCTTCTCTGAATGAAAAAAGGGATAGCTCTCAGTTAGAAGGGAGATAAACAGTCCAAAGCCAATATTGACAAACCTACATGCTGCCTGCAAGACATTTGCATTATGTTGATACCAGATCCAATTCTTGGCTGTTTTTTCTTTCTTTCTTTCTTTGTTCTTTTTAATAAAAATGATCTGACAAATACAGGTTTGACACAAGGAGATTGACTCCCTAATCACATGCGGTGGCTACATGTAGTTAAGCAAAGAAAGAGGGGAGAAGTCCAGCTTCACCCATGAATGCAGGTAGCTTGAGGCACAGGATGATGTTTCTAAGAATATTCTCATTCTGTAGGTAGAAACGCTGGTTCTACTGAGAGAACAGTACATTATTGACAGTAATGGGGACAGTACCATAGTACAGGGAGGAATTTTAGAGAGAAAAACAGACTGAGGAACCTGATAACACCAAAACACAAACACCAAAACACAATAGCTTTTCAGTGCTGTAACAAAGGTGAAAAAGGTGCATAACCCTAAGTGTAGAGGCCCCAACCAACTGCCCAGAAGAATCAGGTACTTGGCTCCTGCCATCCTCGAGGGAAGGAGACTGTCAGCAAGTTCAGATGGGTTCTTTGATACTGTTCTTGTGGAAGGCTTCATTTGACAAGGTCTGGGCTCGTACCTCGGTACAAACAGGCTGCAATAACAGCAGCAGCACTTCCATCTGTGCTCCGGAAAAACTGCATTCCCCTTTCCAGTCTACTGCTGGGACTTGCACACCCATCACTTCTCCTGTCATCCCAGGATGCTGTTTCTGGCTCATTCCCTGCCCCCGCCTACATGGTCCGGAGCAGCTCCCAGCAGGGACACAAAAGCAAACTGTTTCAAGGTGGCATTTGATCCTTTCATGTAGCTTTGGATTTAGCATCTGCATTGAGGGGCTCAGAGGACACATACCAGTGCTGTTCTCCATGCAAACAACAGCCTAAATTAAGCACCTTCTGGGAAGGAGGTGTGACAAAGACAGAAGAGCTGTGACTTAGGGTGATGTACTGAATTGTCATATCGCCCTTTCACGTATTCCATAGGGCTTTTTCATAAATATTTACAAAGAGAAGAACAATTCCTGTTGGCTATATACTTTGCAATTTCTATTAAATATTTATGCCTTCGTGTTATCATTCCTAATTTTTTTTTCTTTTTGTGATTTGTTTTTCTTTTATAGCAGATAAAAAAATGATGGCCTCAGCATCCACAGCAGGAAACCAGCAGCTTTATTCGCAAGGAAGTCCGTTTCAGCCAGGACATTCAGGAAAGACTTTCAGGTACAGTCCAGATCCTGGAACTATAAGCTTCTGAAAAGTGGGGACAATTCCACTTTGACAGAGTAGGCACAAAATTAAGCCTAGGCTGTAGGGCTTTCTTTACAATGTGATTTTTTTTCTTTATGTATATTTAACTCTTGCATGACATTTCAGCATTTGGGCTAGAAATATTTGGATTTTTCTATTAAAAAAAAATTAAAATCTCTCTGTTAGATTTGCCTCAGTATCCCAGTTCTAGGACCACAATAAGTTTGTTCTTTTGTTTTAGATGAAGCCAAGGTTTTGAAAGCAAAGGAACAGCCATTCAGCTAACAACAGTTAGCATTGTCAATTCCAAGAATTAGAAATCATCTTCCATCTATAATTTTGCTTAAATGATTGTGTTCTTCAAGTTGTAATTGCTTATAATCTCAGTGGGAAGAAATAAAATGTCTGCATTTATGTTTTGTCCAAGTAAAACCAAGAGTAGCTTTGGGGGGAGCAATGTAACAGTAAATGAAAATGGCTCTTAATTAGATATCATACATTCCTGGGTGCTTGACTTGCCACCTGGGGGGTTGGCATATGCTTTATTGTTAATTTTCCTGTTGCTCAACAGTAGGATTTTTTTTTTTTTAATGCTACTGTTCCATTACATCAAGCATCTGCCAGCATTACTGCCCTCGACTACTGCATTCGTTTATGTTTCCAGGTGTGTGTGTTGGAGGCCTGAGCCTGGGCAGGCTTCAGACTCTGCTTTGCAGACCCCTGGTCTGCCCGTTAGGCAGGGAACCCCCCGGCGTCACTGGGGAGGCGCTGGGACCTTTTGATTCCAATCGCCCCTTTTGATAATAGAAACAGCAATAATAGTACAGACTCTGCAAAGAATTTCTAAACAAACATTTCATTTTGGGGCAATGGGAGAAGCACAAAATAGCAAACTCTATATTCAGATGCCTGTCACATTTTGTTTGCTGCTCTGGAGAGATTCTATCAGTCTCCTTGGAGGATTCAGGATTCCTGCTTCCTCTCTGCTCAACTTTATTTATTCTTTTTCCCAAGTGGATCTCCTCTTTCTCTTTAAAATGGTGGTGAAAATAGATAGTTGGGATGGGATTGGAGGAAGGGTGAGCTATTTCAATTACATTTGTACATTCTTTTTAATGTATAATTAATCTATTTTAAATATATTTGTACTGGTTGTGTTTTTATATATGCATATATGCACATTCACAATGTGAGGTTGCATGTGTTCAGTAGGACAGAAGAATTCCATGAGAAGAAAATGGTAAACTGAAGCAGTCCCTCATTTAATTTTCCCTCTAATGAGGAATTTCAGGGGAATTTCTCTGTAGTAAAACTCAGTAATTAGGGAACAGCTAACACACAGACAAATTCCTTTGGAAATATTTTTTCTTTCTAATTCTGAAGCTTTAACCCTAGTTTGTTTTTGTTCTTTTTTATTCTTTTGACCGGATATGTAATTTATGCTATTTCTTAGCATGAGATGATGAAAACAGGAATTAAAACCCTGAATTTTTAATATATAGCACACATTTCTCCATTTCCCTAGTGAAAAGTAGTAATGTATATCATCCTGTGCATCTTAATTGAGGAATAGTGTTTAAGCAAATGGTCTGTTGACTATAAGCACAAGTTTAAAATGAAATAGTAGCTTGAATATTTTCTACACACTATTTCTTTAATGTATTAGCTAATAAATTAGTACTAAGAACTAAGTGTTTATGTGTTAGGCTAATTTTATCCTTGCAGGTCCTTTCAAAGAGATGATTATAGAAGTCTAGTTAAAAAGAATTTTGCTCTCTGTGTTGATTTGAATAGCCATTTTAGTACACCAAAATATTTGATAGTTTTTTGATGATCTTGAGTAATATTTAATTAAGACAAATTGAACATACAAATGTGATTGCAGTATCTGGAATACAGTAGACTCTGTTTCTGCTTCTTTAGTTCATCCGTGGTACATGTGCCTGGCGTGAACGACATCCAGTCATCCTCATCCACAGGCCAGAATCTGACACAGATATCTCGCCAGCTAAATCAGAGTCAGGTTGCCTGGACAGGAAATCGTCCACCTTTTCCAGGACAGGTATTGATTAAAAGTCTTTTATTTTCATGGTTGTTAGAGGTCTGTAATGTGTGCTTTTTATTAAAAAAAAAAATCACATATTCCATTTATAATGCAATTACGTACGTTTTGTAATTATCATTTATTCTTGTAAAGAAATAATTTCCCTACTTCTGTTCCTTGACAGATTATAAAGCTTGAGATGGCTGCCCCATGCATACCTGCATTTGGTTTGTAATATGTTTGTAGCAGTGGCACTTGCTACATAAATCCCAAGAGAAGGTCTCAGTCTTATTTTTTTGTATGCAGTGAAGTGAAATAAAGAGGACAGCTGTTAGGCTTTAGTATTAAGTCTGTGCATTAAATCTTTCTTGGACCACAGCCTAACACCCAGCAACTGTTAGCACTGTTATCAGAAAGTGGAGCACGCAAATCCAGGCAGGAATTCACAGCCTGTTGCCCTTCCCTGAGCACTGCCCTGTGCAACTCCTGCAGTTTGTGGGCCACGGAGCAAGGCACCCTCTGCTCAACAGCACAGGGCTCTGCTAGCCCTGAAATCCCCTCTGGTCCTGGGGAATGGGAAACACCCTATTCTGAAAGTGCTTTGAAGACTGAGAACATAAAATAACACGTTTAATCTAGCATCAGTGCTGTTCTTAATCACTCTTGGTTTCTAGTGGTCTCTAGGCAGAATGGCACACTACTGATGGCAAGTAATAATATTTTTCAGCATTTGAATTATTTGCATGGTAGTCAAATTGGTGCTGCTTAGCCCTCACGGTACCATGGTTATTCTGCATGGATATTCACACCTGTTTAAAGAAATCCAAATCCAAATTGGCAAATTACCCATTTTTGAAAAATATGGAAAGGTTGCTAGTAACGACTTTTAGAAAATTCCTCATGCCTCTGATTTTCCAGGTGCTGCCCCAGTCCACGGAATTTGTGTGTGAACATAAGGAATCTGGAATTCCTTCATCCATCCTAAATATAATAAAGCAAGAGCTAAGCTTTTCAGAATAACCTGCACCCATTGCCATTGTGGGATCCTTCAGAAAGGCACAATGGCTTAGCCAGAATTAGAGCTGAGGACTTCATAGCATCTTCCTCATGCTACATCCAGCTACATCCAACACACTGTTGGGATCTGTTCCCTGACTCCCCAACCCCACAACTCCCCTGTGTTTGGCCGAGGGAATCGCTGTGCTTGAGTGCACTGGTTGCCAGTAGCAGTGCACATCATTAAACATATCCAGAGATGTAACCACTTTTCATTTCTGTTTGTGGAACTGATTAGACAGTGAGTTTTTCTTGGAACTGCACAATTTGTTCATACTAGGAGAACTGGGAAATAACTTGCAAGGAGAGTCTCTCTGTAGCATTGTGTGTTATTGTAGTACATGATTTGGGGTGAGACACTTCACCTCTCCATCTCCGTGTGCCTGTATTAAAGCAGTCCTGAAGTGTTTAATCACTTGTGAAACATTCTTGGAGATCCTATGACAAAGCTGTTATACAGACAAAAGTGTCAGCAAGGTGTTTTTTTAATACCATTGAATTGACTCAGCTGCCCACTTAAAGTAAAGTTAGACTGTTTCCTCCTGCCTCCCAGGGTTGGTGATTCACACTCCTTCCCAAGCCCTTTACAAGGCAAAATAACTTTGCTCGCTCTGCTTGTTAGTGGGGAGAAAAAGCAGCTTACTAACTTTGAAAATTCTTTGGCCATTTCCCAAGCACTGCAGACTCTGATCATCTGAAAACAGGACCCATACTCTGGGAATTTGGTAACTGTGACTTTACCAGATTTTTGCAGTGCCACCGTAAATGGAGATAAATTCTTTTCAGTTGTTCTGTTTGGGCTTAATTCTTCAAATAGAGGTGAAAGAAGTCAGGCTGTTGCAAAAAGCTCTGACACTGAGTACATGTGAGTTGGCCAGTGGGAGAGCTGTAAGTATTGGTTTATAATTGGCTGCAATAAGTTGGTTTTGTCAGAAGTTAAATACTGCTGAAATAGGGATAATGTGCCTGCTCTCATCTGCTGAGTTTATTTAGCCTTTACGTTATTAAAATTAGAACCTGCTAGGCTGCTCTTTAACAGTAAAATTCATTCCTCCACTCCAACCCTTTTTCCTCAGCAAATTCCGTCTCAGTCTGGCAAGGCTCAGTCATCACCCTTCGGAATTGGAACAAGTCACACTTATCCAGCTGATCCATCATCATACAGCCCTCTTTCTAGCCCCGCCACCTCTTCTCCAAGTGGGAATGCCTACTCCAGCTTAGCAAACCGAAGTGCAGGCTTTGGTAAGTTTTAGATGACCGGCACACAGGTGCACGTACATGTGGTTGTTGTGAAACCCAGAGCGTAAAGGGGTTTTGCTTTCTCTTGTTCAGCACAGTGGTCTGGGGTGGCCTGTTTCTTCAGTGCTACGTCTCCACCACATCCAGCGGACTTCAGAATCTTGTTATTTTTTGTGATACTGTAGTATTTTTTTTTGTTAAATAACATCACAAAAGATTCGAAGGTTGCTTACACCCCTAGTGCATGCCCTCCCCGGCTGGACTAGAAGGTTCGGTGCCTTTCCACTTCTCAGAACACTTAAATGGTGCGGGCCAATTTTTGTATTTATTTTTCACATTCCTAACACCACAAGGTTGTCCTTTTGTCCAGAGATGATTTACTGGAGCTTGGCAGGACACAGGATTTTCTGCACTCACACGGTGTCTAACCAGAGAAGGTGGCATCTCTTAAGCTGTATTTCCCATTATTTGGTCATTTAGTAGCTTTCAGACTATGACTCAAGGAGAGAACCAGAAAGCCTTGGCAGGTTTTCTGTACTGCACTTGCAGAATCATATTCCAGAGTAAAAAATCATGGATCAGTCAGTGATAAACACATTTGGAGTCCATAAAAAATGTTTCTAGCAGATAATAATCTGCAATTTCAAGAAGCTTAGGTAGTATTTCACTTATTTATGTAGTTTCTCCCTTATCTATTGAGAACAAAATTGAAGTTGTGTTGCCGATTAACCTCACTTAAAAGTGCAGACTTGTGTTGCACTGCCTGGACTAAGTGCATTGGAATGGAATGCTTCCCACAGAGCTTATTCACTCCATTTCCACTAGGCTTTGTGCATTTGTTTATGAGACAGCCTGCATTTCAGGCCTAAACTGCTTGGCAAGAACCTTTTCACCTAATGAGAAACATCTCCTGACCTATAGCACTTTAGATCCTATTAATATCACAGCCTTTACAACAAATGTCTTGAATCTCCATATGGCAAAACTGTTTTGCTGAAAAGAAGCATCATTTGCCTCACTGAGTTAATTTCAGTATGTTGTATGAAAAAAAAAAATGTCGCAGCAATCATTTAAAGGGTAATTTAGTTTAATTTTATTTTGACCAGCAAAATGGCTACAGGATTTCTGAGTCAACTGAATTATTTGTTGTGGTAAGGTCAGTAAGGAAGAGACGTAATTATCTACCTCAGATGTATTAGAAATAAGCCACTGTAGCCTGTTTATTTTTTGTGAAAAAATGTTCACTTTGTTTTGCTTGCTTTAGCTGGTAGTCAGATTGGATTAAAGCTGTGTTGGTAAGTTTTCTGCAGGAACGGTTATGGAGTGGTGCCTAATTCTTCCATTCCTCTATCATTCTTTGTGAAAACTGTAGATTCTGGTTATCAGAGATCAGACATAATGTAGCAGGTCAAAGCATCTCTGTGAAGTCACTGTTACAGAGATCTCAGCTCTTGGTGGAGGGTGCTGATAATCTGGGAGAACCAGATCAACCAACCTGCATGGAGAAAAATAGACAAAGATATTATTGGAGAAAAAAAAAAAAAAAAAGGCTGGAGGGGAAGGGGGAGAAGAGAAAATGTTTGGCAGGAAAGCAAGTTTCCCTGCTTGCCTAGCAGCATGTTTTTTAAAGTGCCAACTCTTAGATGATGACATTATGAGTAATTCAAGTAGAAAGAGAGCTACCTCATTGTTTTATATGTTTGGGGGCAGTCTGTAGAAGTACAGGGTAGAATCACACAATCCAGTTAAATGTGAGTGGAGACTTCATAAAATTGTATGTGCAATAGGTGATTGAACAGGTGATGAATACCTACACACGGCATCGTGTTGTTTTCCAGTAGACTATTTGAAAAAATGCCTTTCCTTGAAATGGCTGTTAAAAATGTATTGATCATCAAGCCTTGCTGTTCTCATTACTTGCTGTGATCCTTAAATGGCATCATGCTTTTAAGAAACCATCAGCATGCAAACAGGATAATAATTTAGCTATAAGTTGCACATTATAAATAAATGATTTTGCTGCTGTAATGTTGAAAGAAAAGATTTCCCTGCAAACAGCACCCTAAATGAGTTAACATCTGCATTTAAGACAGCAGGGCAGTTGGCTGTTAATACTGTTTTTATATCCTGTTGCAAAGTTTGAAATCCTGCGTCTTAGGTGAGTAGATAATATTGCTCCCACTGCTCTAGCAAGGAGTGTTTAAAGAAAAGGAGCATTCAGAGTTTGTATTCTGTTTGTTTTGGGGTTGTTTCCTTGTTTTCTGTTTTTACAAAACCTCCTGTTGCTACATGAGGTCTGCATTTTGAAGGAGCTGCTCTCTGACACCCGCCTTTTCCCCCGTGCAGCCGAAGGCGCTCAGAGCAGCGGCCAGTTCCAGGGGAGACCCTCTGAAGTCTGGTCCCAGTGGCAGAGCCAGCATCACAACCAGCAAAGCGGCGACCAGCACTCGCACCCGCAGCCCAGTCAGACCGAGGTGTTCCAGGTGAGCAGAGGCCATTGAGCCCAACGTCCCTGTAAGAAGCTCTCACTGCTGACTCAGAAACACTGGCCCACAATGAGCTGGGATGTTAGCAGGGCTCGTCACAGGAACCTTTTGCTGTGTACTGTCGTGGGTCTGCACTGATAATAACTGATGTTAGCTAGAACTGAGTTTTGTTTTCTGCCAAAACACAGCAACATTACTGGTTTAAACTGCTGTGTTCGCTTCTTTTTGGTCCCTTTACTTAAGGCTTCAGCATTTTGTAGAGAAGCCACAGACTATTCCTGACTACAGTCTTTCTTATACTGGTACTGACCTCCAAAATCCCAATCAAGTCCAATTAGAAATTAGTCTAATTCTCTTCAACAGTTCAGTCAGGAAATGTTTCTGCTACTGTGTAGATGATAGTGTCCAATAATTTTTTAATGCCAAGCACAATCAGATATAATACAGCTGGCAAATAATCCTCTTCAGCTACTTTTTTAATGCTAAGTGTACTTTTAGGCCTTTACTACAGATGGAGCAGGGTTTTCTATGTTAACTAATAAGGTCCCTGTCCATGTATAGTTCATTTTTCAGTTAGATTAAGAAGACATTTTGCAACAAAACAATGCAGATAAATGCAAAAAAGCAAGGCTCAGGCCCCAAGCAAGGTTTAGAAGTGGGGCACCTTATTCTCTTTCACTCTTTTTAAAGATTAAATTTGCCTGCATGATTAGGCTCATGCTCAGTGGTTGTCAAGAAAGCTGCAGAAGAGACATCACCCTGAAAATGTACCTGCATGAACCACTCTTTTTGCCTAGGAATGAGTAAGATCACAACATCTGAAATAACTACCTGCCTGCTTTTGCCCTATGATAAGATAAAGTTGCTTTTCTCTCTATAAGCAAAATGTAGTCATTTTGCACATACGTTAACCCAAAAGCATATGTAGGCTGATTCCAGCGGAACCAGTGGCAGCGTGGTCCAGAGCTCATAGAACCAGAGAGCCCCAAGGAATATCTTGTTTTTATTTAAGGCAAATGCTGTGGCCCAGTGGACATCTTAGGAAATCAGTGGAAGGGAAAGAAAGGAAGAGTTGGACTTCACCTGCAGAGTTCTTGGACGTGAATTTGCATTTGGAGGGAATTACACTAATAGCTGGATGTGGTGAGAAAGTTGGATGAGCTCAGTTCAAAGGCCTCCAAGAAGTTTCTTGGAGTATTTGTGCTGAAGCCAGGCCTGGATTAGCTGGACATGAGGAAGGAGGAAAGTGCAAAAGGGCAGCTACCATGTTGAGTCGTTACCTGGGGAGACCTTGGCACAGAGACCCCAGCTGCACAAATGCCTTCAGAGATGCAGAAATTTAAACAGGCAGAGGCAGCTACAACTTCCCCTTAGCTGGTGAGGAATGTGGGAAAATATAAGAAGTGCTAGATTTAGACTGAAAATGCAGGCTGATCCTGCAGCTCGGAAACTGTGCCAGCTCTGTTCATTGCCTCTTTTATCACCATTGACAGGGGTGCTAAAGATCAGATGGATTTTAAGTTTTCTTTATTTTGGGACAACTCTTCAGCTGCTCTTGCTGGTTATTCCTTCATGGAGAGGTCCTGTGGGCTTTCTTACTTGCTCTTTAGGTTTTGCTTTGTTGTAAGCTTAATTATCCTTCTCTAGAAACCCTTGGTTTTGCAGTAAGAGCTTATTATTGTAGGGGTTGACAGGAAAAGCAAGTATAAATTCCGGTTTTCTCAGCAAAGGATGTCTTTACCCTGTGGCTTCGATCTCTGGCTGGGAAGGAAGGTTGAGTATTTTTGAAGCCTCCTGCAAGGACCTCACTTGGCTTAAGACACGTGGGAGCAATTACCATGAAATCCCCTTTCTGCCAAGGATTCCTCCATTGCTTCTGCCTTTGTGAAGCACATGAGGGCTGTTTGGTCAGCTTGTTACCACGGGGAATGTCCAGTCTTTAGCATTTTTTCAGAGGACAAAGAGCAGTCATACGCTTACTTAGAGAGTGCTTGTGAGAAGGTTAGACCCTCCACAAATCCGTGCTGATACCAGGGAGCTCCTTTCAGTGCAAGCTGGGTAGTTCTCCAAAACCAGCTCCTTAACTCAAACAGAAAAGGGGAGGGAGCAGTGCTGGTAGGGTTCAGGAAATGAGCTGCTTTTAGGGCTTAGTTGTACGAGCCGTTGTGTTCTTCCCATATAGCACTGCCGTCAGTGAGATCAGAGGGTTGTCTTCAGCTCTCAGAAGGATTTCAGAGCACATGAGGAAAAGGGGCAGAGGAATAACAAGTCTTTCCTAGTAAGCCCGCTAACTTTGTGATCGTAGATGGGACACTTTCCCCTTGTTCAACTTCTGCACAGGCTCAAAGATGGTTTGGCACGCTTTGCCCTGAGGATAAGTGAGATGCAGAGGCAGAATTATCAAGTGTCTGTTTAACGTCTTCATGTCATCAAAAGATTTTATTTCCTATGCTGAAAAAAAAATCACTGGGAGAGTAAAAGCAGCTTCTGCCTTGCCCCCATCCCTATGGCTTTGAAGTTTCCGTTTCAGTATTAGTTGCATAGCTCCGCAGCCTCTGTTAAGCACTTGTCACTCCAGACAACTTGAAGTTATCACATCCAGTGATTGTCCCATATCTTAGCCTGTTGTCACAGAATTCTTTCATTACGTTTGGGAATTGCTTCAGCCTGGGAAAGTTGCTGAAATCTGCTTTACTGAGAGGAGCAAACCAAAACCTCTGCACTGCTGAAGCCCCATGTCCCTTTCGGAAAGGCTAAAGCAACACATAAGCAGTGCATAAACCTTAATTCAGCTGCCTTTCCAGGTCTGTTTTTCAACTTACTTAGCTAGCTTTTGGTCTTTTCTGTTTTTACAATGAAAAGATGAACAGGAAACAGTTTGTGTCTGGATAACATGTTTGAAAGTGACACTTGCTTTGATTTTCCTTATCACACAGGACATGCTGCCAATGCCGGGGGATCCAACGCAGGGTACTGGCAATTACAACATTGAAGATTTTGCTGATCTGGGCATGTTTCCACCATTTTCTGAGTAGCTTGTGAAGCAAAATGAAGTTCTTCTCCAAGGCCATTTTGGTGTAATTTTGACTCTGCTTTTATTATGTTGCATTTCTGTAGAAGCTACTAAAACAGAAATCACATTTCTCATAAATCAGATAGTGGTGTAGGGCTTGCTCTCTCCTCCTTGGGTGCATAAGTGCCAAAAGAGGAGTTCCAGCATTTGTTGGTGTTCATTGACAGCTCCTTTTTTCATTTTTTTTATTTTATTGTCATCTACCTCAGAGATGAGAAAACTTTGCCTGATTAAAAAAAAAAAAAAGAAAGAAAGAAAAAAGAAAAGAAAAAGGTCTCTGAGTCTTAAACATTTGAATGTGAATGATACCTAATATTCCCTTTAATAATTTTTAAATAGATAAAGAAATAACAAAGACTAACAGAGAAGAGGTAAGGTAATGTCCTGTTGCAGTGCCTACCATTCAATTTTGATGCCTTGTGTTGAACTTAAGTTTGTGGAAGCAGACAGAGTATGCTGTTTTCTTTGATCCTTGTAGTTTTTAGATCAGTTTAAATGTGAGATTAAATAACGGAACGTAGGCCTCTGACCAGAAGATTCAGCTCTGCCTTTTCTAACTGAAACTTGAATGTGTGTACATTTTGGTACTTTATGTATATCTTGTGCTGTATGAAGTGTTTTCCTGTACTGGTTTCTTTTGCCTTTAAAAAGGGTCCATTCTGGAGCATACCGAAACGGTTTGCAATATATGTGGAGGATTTAGATGTGGGAGGATTCTCCATCACTTCACATAGTTCTTACTTTTAATTCAGGTCGTTCTCTATTAAGAACAAACATTTACTTACATAAGCTATTAGTCTGTTTTTGCACTGAACTGAGGCCTATAATTTCTCTCTGACTGCATTCATTTCTATTGCTCTTGATTTCCCCAAATGATTGCCTCATAAAAATGACTGTAAACACATCCAGATCACTATTTCTATTTTAGCTGCATCTCTTTTGTGTGTGAAATACTTTTTTATACTGTGAAAGCTCATGTTTTAACAGTGCAAGTTGGTGGCCTATTACAAGAAAATCATCAGAGCTCACTTGCTGCAAGCAGTGAGATGGTTTTGTAGTGTACAATGTTTTTAGAGCAAGTTGATAATAGATATCAATCATACTGTTGTCCTCTGTGTACACAGTGATGATAGCCTGATTTTTGCTTGAATTCCCAAGCACTCCCTTCTGTTACATCTACTACATGAGACTTTCAGCTTACCAAGTGCTTGGGGGCTCTGACTATTCTGAATGCTCCATGCTTTTCCACAGAGATAAGTTAATTACATTCCTCTTTGGCTAATTATCTACCTTATATATTTGTGCAAATTTGTTAAAAAGATTTAATTTGATCTTACTTATGCATGATGAGTTACACGAGTTCTCTTACGATGAGGGAGGAGGAGTCACCCTTAAATGACTAGCAGCCCAGGAATTTTAATAAAATTTGGGGTATGGAGTAGACAGAATATGCAGAAGAGGGAAAGTAGCAGCTTTTCTAAGAATTTGTGTGTGCAAGTCTGTCAACACAGACCTTGAAATAGCCACAGTAGGGCTGAGCTCGCCACCTAAAACACCTCAGATTCTGCAGCAGTTCCTAGGCTTTATGGTCTCACTTCTCACAGCTCCTCTTCAAATCTGAGGTGTCCTTCAACGGAAGGGTCACACACACGTTATTGCAGCCCTTACTGCCAGGATAACATCTTGAAAAGCCACCAGGCCCTTGTCCTGCAGCCTGCTCTGGCCACACAGGGTCCGTGCAGAAATGTGGCACAGGCCAAGGAGACACTGCCCTGACCGCAGCCACTGCTTTAACTTTATGGTGCCCTTCCTTCCCACTTGGCTTTCCTGGCCGCTCGTAGAGCAGCGTGGAGTTTCAGCATCCAAAAGGAGTCTTTCCAACCGTTTTGCTTGCTATATCTGGAACCAGTTTCTTAACCTACATGAAAGTGGGGCTGGAGA